AAACTTTTTAATTACGATGTTAACCACATCTACCCTTGAAGCTCAAAGCTGGCCACTTTAATAAAGTTGACTCATGTTTGTCTTGACATATTTTTCTGGTTCTATTTATAAGTTACTTTTAACATATTTTACACATATCAAGAAAAACATTAAACATTATTAGCTTTTATTTAAAATTTAATAACTTTTTGACTTTATTCCTATTCAATATCTATTATACTTTATGCAGACAAAGTCGACACAAAAATAAATGAGAGGTAAAATTATATATCCATGCAAAAAATTTCTCTCAGTATCCTATAAATAAGATAAAAAAATATCTTTTCTCTCTGCCATACAAATAAATAGGACAAGAGGAGTACTTGTTTTTCAATTTACTAAAAAAGATTAGAGAAAAAGAAGAGATAGATATGATAATAATTTGTATATGATAATGACTTATAAATGTAGAGAGAGAACAAAAACTCTAATAACAATAAAATTTAATTTTTTTATTAATTTAATGTATTTCTTAGCATGCACATCACGGCACATAAACTCTCTTCCTCTTGGTTCTTAACAGACCGACCTTCAACCAAACTTTCTTGACTTTGCCCCCGTGGATGAGGGACTTAGCCACTCGTTCTGGATTCCTTTCCTTATTAGCCACTCCTTCTGGATTCCTTTCCTTATTAGTCCTGTGCTGGGCTGCTTACGGCTGCAAGTTCTGTCTTTCTGTTTACAGTTTATAGTCCATCGTTCAATCAAAGTCTGAAAGGGATAATGGGATAACGTGTTACAAATGACGTATAGACATGGTGATATGCATTAAATTATTTGGTTTCCCGTCATTTGTGATGCTTGGTTATTGGATATCCCAATTGATTTTTCAAAGTCAATCTCAGCTCATAAATTGATTTTAATTTGCGTACACACACAATGTACGCACTTTCTCAATAAAATGACCAATGATATAAAATGAGTTATGCAATTAAAGTTGTTGTAAGAGTTCTAAGAATATGGGAAACGAATAAAACATCAATTTACATAATTTACAAAATATACATATATACACAAAGACGTAATCAACCATATATGATTTTATCATATTTATTTAGAATAGTTAATTGTTAAAAATGCATATTTAGATCACAAGGGTATTTTGATAATTAAATGGATAAAATTCTTTATTTTGCTTAAAGTTTGTGATTCTTTAATATTTTCTATCTATTTAATTAGATATGTGATTTTATCCTGTTGATTTTAATATGGCGGTGATGTGACAAAATGGGTCAATTGGTCAAGCTATTACAACTGGTGCCATTTCAAGACTTAATCAGGGGCAAAGATGGAATTGTGTGTGCACGCAAGATTTATGGCGCCTTAAGGGGTGCATTTGGACAAGTTTGCTGTAACTCCAAACCATATTTTAAGATGTCTGGATAGCATTAAAAGTGTTTTTTTAAAAGTATTTTTTTAAAATCAAAACAAATTTTTTTATATATTTATTTTCTATTCTATTAAATCATTTTTAAAATTATAGTTTGATTTTCATCTAAACACACTGCATTTTCAAGACACTTGGTTAATTAGATAGTTAATAAAAGCTCTCTCAAATTATACTGTTATTAATATAACATTTATTTAACTAGTTTAATTAGATTAAAAAAATATAAAAATTATTTGATTAAAAAATTATTTGATTATAAAAAATATGGCATATTTTTCTGAAACACTATAATGATCTTCTTTAATATCTTTTTTTTTCTTTCCTATTTAATTATTGTCGAGGAAATATGCATATAAATAATTTTAAAAAACTGATAAATATAAAAAATAAGTCTTATACTATTTGAAAATAAAATCAACTTAATAATTAAATTTTATATTAAAGTTTGGAGGAGTATTACATTACATTTCTTGAAAAATCAGGGAGAGAGATGAGAATCAAAAGTAACGTGATTGTTTGTTGTTTTTGGGGAATTGAAAAGGAGGCCGAACTTGCCTTGTGAGTGGTAGAACCCTTCACGGATCCATCTTCCCCAATGCACGGGGACTATTTTGCCATTTGGGTAGAACCGGTAATATAAGATGAACCAGCGGGTCTAACCTGCCAACCCAACAAAATTGGCGGGTTATGGTTGGCCGAGAACCAACCCGTCACTACCTCAAAAAATATAACATGCACAGTCATAACTTAAACCCGCGGGTTAACCCACCTATTTTTTTTAAAAAAATAAATAATAAAGGCAAAAGTAAGGCAGACTTCCAATTCAAACTTCATTGCCATTAGAAATAATTAGATAAAGAGGGTTATTCGGTGTTGTTTGTTGGTTTCGTTGGAAAAACAATGTCAACTTGTGTATTATCATGTTGGGAAATTGGACAATCAAAAACTCTTTGTATTTTATTGTGTTGTAATTTTTACTTGGATGTTTGTAATATTTTTTATCACGTTTTTATTTTTGATTATATATAACTGCTAATATTTAAAAAATAAGAAAAAAAAAGCAAGAAGAAAAAAAATAAAAATTCTAGTGGGTTGGTGGGTTAGGGTTGGCAAAATGCCAACCCGCTAGAAGACAAACCTTTTGAGCCCGCACGGTGTAGCCCGCGGCCCGCCACGAGCCAACCGCAACTCGCGAGTTGGCCCGTTTTTCCAGCTCTACATTTGGGCAATGACACATGTTCTTGTCTTCTGCAGACATTGAATAAAGCAAATAAAATAAATCCCACGCAGGAGCTTTTTAAGTAGAAATTTATGCTAAAATGAGAAATAAGAAACTGAAATAAAATTAAAACTAATAATAGAATAAACGTCGGCCCGAAGCCTAATTCAAATTATGTTGTTTATTACTCCTCTGGTCCTTAATATAAAACTCATTTAACTAATTTGATTTGATTAAAGAAGTTAAGTAAATTAGTTAATTATAAAAAATATGACACGTTTTTCCTAAAATACCGTAATCATCTTTCTTAATACCCACTCTCCCTCTTCTACTTGATTATAGTTAAGGGAGTATCCATAGGAGTAATTTAGAGAAAATTGATAAATATGATAAATGGGTCTTATATTTAGGACCAAAACTAACTCAACAATTGGGTCCTATATTAAGGATCGGAAGAGTAGTTATAAACAATCCAGCTTGAAGGACTTCATATATTTCAAAAATGATTTCATTCTGTGTTTGTTTGGTTTCATTTTAAAAATTATTTTAGTAATTTTTTCAATCTGAAATAATATGGATTATTTTTATACACACTATCAATAAAATATTGTGGCCACAGAATTGACAAACATCAAGACGTTCGTCTTGTTTTGCCGACTAATTTCCAACTTTTGAATTGTTTTCATTTGATTTTTTTTTCCTTCCTCTCCTTATTCTATTTATAAGACACTTTCAGTATATTTCACACAAATCATGAAAAACCTTAAATAGCATTAACGTTTCATTAAAATATAACAGGTTTTTAATTTTACTCATTTAATATATACACGTTTCAAAATAATAACTGTGTACATTTTAATAAATAAAAAATAAAATAGTATTTTTGATTATTTATGCTAAAATTTTAATGAAATAACTTATAAATAAGATAAAAATTTTTTTTTCTCTGCATTATCAATAAGATAAGAGTAAAGGAACTAATTTAGGTGCTCATCATTTTGATGAGTACCTTAAACTCATTATATCCAGAGCATTCAAATCTGATCTAATCTCCATTCCTCTATTAAGTAACACGAGATCAAATGAGTGATTTAGATTGATTGGCATGTATCACCTGATGACAATCCGGTGTTCTCCTAAAGTTTTTCAATGGCAATGAAGTGAAAGCATTCGGAGATGGCCAATAAGAATTCTATTTGTATTTGAAATATTTGAAAGCATGTCTTAGGGGTGTTTGGATGATCTGAGAAATGCTTTTAAAAAATATTTTTTCACAAATCGAGATAAACTCTTTTATATATTTATTTTATATATCGTAAAATCATGATTTTGTTTCCATCCAAACACTCTCTAGTTTTGGTCAGCCCCAGTGAGCTAACAACTTTTTTTTTTTTTTTAAATGGCAGATAAACACCCAAGACCACACACCCCATACCATGGAGGCTGTCCGATTGATCTCCATTACTACGATCAGAGCACGAAGCTGCCATAATAATGGCGACTCACCTGAACTAATCGATCTGAATCCATGGGATCTTCAATATCTAGTTGTTGGGTACGCTCAAAAGGGACTTCTCTTTCACAAACCCGCCTCGTTATCATCTTCAATACGCGGAGAAACAGTGATCCAACACTTGAAGGACCCCCTTTCTTCCAACCTCGACTTCTTCCGGCCGCTTGCTGGCCGTCTTTTTGTTGTACCCCACTAAAAAACAAGTACAGACATGACCCAAATGAAACGATCAAAAGGAACGTAGAAATTAGTGAGAGTTGGGTCTAGTAGAAGATGTTAGTCCCTGATAACGTAGCGAATCAAGTTTTGAATTCTCACTGAAAGAGATACCTGCCCTGCATTTAATGCCTAACATTGCCTCGAATATGATTATCTCTAATAAAAGGATATCTATACTTTAACAAAAAAAAAAAAGGAGAACGTAGACCTAATACATAATACTTCTCCAATCCTTAATATAGGACCTAATTGTTAAGTTAGGAAAAGACCTATTTTTTATATTTATTAATTTTTTTAAATTATTCTTATAATACTTTATCAAGTATAATCAAGTAAGTGAGGAAGAGATGATATTAAGAAAGATAGTTATAGTGTTTTAGGAAAACATGTCATATTTTTTTATAATTAACTAACTTATCTAACTTTTTTAATCTAATCAAATTAGTTAAATAAGTCTTATATTAAGAACTGGAAGAGTACCAAACAAATTTAAAGCAGCAAACTCAAAAAAGCCACAGGAAGAATTAATGGTCAAGAAGGTAGGAGCTCGGCTGCTATAAATCCAAGGCCAGCGATGAGTTTAAGCAACTGAAGATAAACCCTAAAGTACCACACGCACCATGCATCCCATGGAGGCCGTTCGAACGATCTGCACAACTACGATCCGAGCACGAAGAGGCCTTAATCATGGCGACTCGCCTCAACAGATCGATCTGAATCCATGGGATCTTCAATTTCTACTACTTGAGTATGCTCAAAAGGGACTTCTCTTTCACAAACCCGCCTCGTTATCATCGTCAATACTTGGAGAAACAGTAATCCAGCAGTTGAAGGACTCGCTTTCTTCCACCCTCGACTTCTTCCTGCCGCTTGCTGGCCGTCTTCTTGTTGTCCCCCATGGCGGCGACGATGACACATCCTCCGTCTTCATCACTTGTAACAACGCCGGAGTAAGCTTTGTTCATGCTATAGCAGAGAACACTAAAATTGCCGCCATCCTTGAACCCACTTATGTTCCCACAATAGTCTCCTCCTTCTTCCCACCCGGTAATATCGAGAACTTTGAAGCAGATCGAGTTCCATTACTGGCTGTTCAAGTCACAGAGTTGGTGGATGGCATCTTCATCGCTTGTTCCATTAATCATTGTCTTGCTGATGTGAAGCCGTACTGGAATTTCTTAAATGCATGGGCTCAGATCTCTCGAAATGGCCTCAACCACATGGCCCCAAATTCGAAGCTGGCTTCATTTGAACGATGGTTTCCTCATGGTAATATTGAGCGCCCCATAACAATCCCATTCAGGAAAATATTGCAGCATCATCTTAAGGAGTCAACAGGTTTGATTCAGTCACCTCCATTTTCAGGGAGGATCTTTCACCTTCAAAAGCAAAAAATTGCTCAACTCAAAGCAAAAGCTAATTCAGAGGTACAAGATAGTATCATCAGCAACAAAATCTCCTCTTTGCAAGCTTTTCTGGGCCATGTCTGGAGGTCTGTAATCAGAAATCAGAATCTTGACCCAGAAGAGGAAGTCACATACAGATTCCTCATATCTGCTAGATCCAAAGTTTCGCACCCCCCAATTCCAGACGACTATTTTGGAATCACCGTGCAATTCACTGCTGTGACGATGAAAGTAAGGGATTTAGTGGGAGATGGAGGCTTTGGAAAGTTTGTTTGGGAGATGAACAAGGAAATCTCATCGTGCACTGAAGAAAAGATCAAGAGCGACTTCGAAGCTTGGATACGAAATCCAGCAATGCGTACACAGCATGCCACAATTGGGAAGTTTATGACAACTAGCAGCTCCCCACGAACCAACTTTTATGAGATCGATTTCGGTTGGGGAAGACCAGTGGCGGTTCGCGGCGGCGGAGCCAATGCGAAGCAGTGGAAGATAGCAGTCGATGCCGGAGCAGAAGAAGGTAGCTTTGATGTTGAACTATGGGCCTCTTACCAAATACTGGAAGCTTTGGCTAGAGACCGTGAATTCATGGAAGCAGTGGAACTGCCCTTGGCAGCGGAGCTAACGCCATCCAGTAAAGTAGCACGGACTCGACTATGAGATCAAGCATCTGTGTATTTTCCATAATTGGTAATCAAATTTATGAAGAGTGTGTTTGGATTAGCGGTGGAGAAGTAACTTTTTTTTCAATCTGACTTTTCCAAAAGTCAGATTGGGTAATGTGATTTATGTTTGGATTGGGTTTTAGAAAAAAGTCAGTTTGAGAAGCTGAAATTTGTTTGGATGATAAATGTAACAGTAAGTTTGGATGTAAAATGACTTAAATGAATATGAATTCTATTAAATAGCACATATCTAATATTATATATATATATATATATATATATAATGTGACTATTTTTTAAGAAGTAAGGAACATAAAAATTATTAAAAGTAAAGAAATTTAATTTAGTATTATAAAGAAATTATATATATAATGTGACTATTTGTCATAAATAAAGTAATGAAAATAAAATTATTAAAAATAAGGAAATTTAATTTATTGTTATAAAGAAATTATATATATAATGTGACCATTTTAAAAGAAGTATTGAAAAAAAAGTTATTAAAAATAAAAAAAAATTAAGTTATTATTAGAAGGAAATTGAAAAATAATAAAATACTTAGTTAAATATATGTAATGGATAAATATCTAAATTAGAGGTCATACATACGTAGCATTTTTAAACTAAATACATCAAATAACTAATTGGATGCCATGCTCAATACAATTTGGTCTCTGATTGTGTCATGCACATGATTCATTTGTCTTGATCTAAGTAAATTTGAAGAGGATGTCTCACCAGCTTCATCATGATTGTTTTCGTCAATTGTACCTTCAGATTGAGCTTGTATGAAATCTCTATCAGTTTCAGAATTTCTTCGGAAGAAATTATGTATAGCTATTGTAGCACAAACTACTTGGACTTGAGTTTTATACTTGTAACTTGGCATCTTGTCTAAGATGTGAAACTTATTCTTCCACACCCCAAAAGTCCTTTCTATAGTGCACCTCAAACTTGAATGGTAGTAATTGAAGACTTCGTTATAATTTTCAAATCCCGGTTGTCGCCTGAAGTCTGGAAGGTGATAGCGCTCACATCTGTACGGACCAAGATATCCTGGTGGAGTTGGATAGCCAACATCGACCAAATAATACTTCCCTAATAAATCATGAAATTATGTTGACATTGTGAAATTAATGAAAATATCAAATGAATTTGATATAATTAAAATTGAAGCTAGTGAAAATATACCTGGAGGTGGATGAGGGAAATCCAAGGCTGGAGTTGAGACAGCAGTGTTAAACACACGAGCATCATGTGCAGTACCTTCCCATCCCGCTAACACAAAAGTGAAGCACATGTCCCAGTCACATACAGCCATGACATTCTGTGTCGGATATCCCTTTCTCCCGATATATTTGTCTTGCTTCGAAAGACTGACCACACATCGTACATGAGTGCCATCAATTGCTCCTATTGCATAATTGAAATATGGCGAATATCGTTTATCGTTTTTTATATTTGGGTGAGTTACAGAAAATGTAGGATTGAGTGGTTTGATATATTCCCTGGATAGACTAAGGCAAGCCTATAATACTCTATGAAAATGCCTGCTTATAGTTTCTCCTGAATGTTGAAACCTTTCTTGAATCATCCTATTACATTGTCCATAACCAACCGTGTTCAAAAACATACCAACAATTTCTTCCACTCCCAGATACTTAGAATTTTGTAAACCATGTTCGACCAGTTTAGAGCATAATCGCATGAACATTTCTTTTTCCATTCGAAACATGTCATAACACCGAATTTCATGATCTCGCAAAATTTCTTGCACCCATAAATTACCTGTTTGCTGACTAGTTCTTCGTGGCTCTTTGCACACATAAGGCATCACATATTGACTCACCAATACAACTACCTCTTCATACTGTGTTATCTCTTCATCTAAAAAGGAAATCAATTGAGATTGTTCATCTTCCTCTGACTCCTCTTCAGACTGTTCATCTTCCTCCATCCACTCAAACGTAAATTGATTGTTCCAATTTGCCATAGATAATGTCACCTGTGAGTGTGGTTAAATTCAACTGTAAGAATTTTTTTAAACGACAAATAAATATTTTTAGGTATGTGTAAATAAATATTTTTTTTCTGTTAAACATGTAAACACATAAAAATTAGTCTAAAAACATTCATAAGCTGCAATTACCACTATAAATAACACATGTAACTTAAAAACATTCAAAACATTCATAACCAGTCAACAAGTTACATAATTTCATAGTTCCACAAACATTAACTTAAAAACATATAATAACAACTCTAGTCCAAGTTAGACAAAATAAAGTCATAACATGCGTCCTAAAATATAGTTCAAGCAGGCAGGGGTTTCAACCATGATGGTGGATTGTATGCCATATCCTGTAGCCATACAACCAAGTATTCCGGATGTCCTTTTAGTGAAACAACCATTTCCCGAACACTCTTGTGCAACAGAAGTCTTAAGCACCGGTTTCAGAAATCAGAGTTACTTGTAATTTCCTTAAGGCAAAGCACTTTTGCCGTAACCTCAGAAATTGATACCTCTTTTATTTTCTTTAGAACTGCAGTTCTATCCTTAGATGCAGTAGCTATTTCACTAACTGAATCTGCTATTTGTCTTGAGGCTTGAATTTTTTGCTTTGTTTGCCTGCTAGACCCTTCACCTCTCTTCCTCTTCCCATGGCTTCCTGAACCACTAGGTGCAGTATTTGCTGTTAAGTTTACGCCTGCCATCTCATCTGTAACTCCTACACTAGCACCTCCAAGATCTTTTTCGCTATCCCCCGATCCTTCAAGGAGATCTGTATCAACTCTATACACATTCTCTTCGTCATCCTCTTGTGTCTGAGGTTGGGTTAAAGACGGTGCCAACATATCCTCTCCAGATGCTATCACATCCTTGAATATCGTGTTTAATTCATGAGCAAACTTTAACCCCTGGTACCTAAACTTTTCATACTGAGGATTCTCCTGCAAGAATACAATCAACAAAAATAAAAAGCCTATAACAAGTAATAACATAGTTCATAACTCAAGATTAACAATTATATACCAGTTTTTTCTTCTCCCACCACTCATTCGTTGCCACCACTGTATTGTTTATATGGTCCCAACCTACACCAGTCTCTTTGGTTAAATCAACCCATGTCCTCCAATCCTTCCTCAAGCTATCGAGCCTATTTTTCAATTGCTTCTTCTCATATGATTTTCCTGTTTTTGCATTGAATGCAGAGTGAATGTTGTTCCACCCAGGCTTTGAATATGATGTTCCTTGATGATTTTTCCGGTAGATTTGCTCTATGCATTCTTTAAGTAACACCTCTGTGGTGCTTGTATCTCATGTTGCCTTACTTTTTTCTTTGTTCATAATTCTATTAAAAAATGTCAATCAAGAATGCAAAAGGGAGTTACAGTGAACCAGAGCACTTTTCTTCCAACAATGTAGAAATATTATGTTTCTTTTGTAAATAAATATGAGAGGAAATATCTAATATATATAATATTTATAAATTATAATCTCACAATCATATATATTTAGGTTTGTAAAACATACTTATCAACAATAAGCATTATTGATGAATATATACGCCACTTTTTACAAACACCGATCTTCAGATTTTCAAACTAAAAAACGTATACTTTTCAAAGCTTGTGGCAAATAATTAACAGCAAAGGGGTAGTCAGTTTGCCAGAACCACAAATCATAAATAGAAACACAGAACTACAAATAAATGGAAACAGATCTTCAAATTTTCAAACTAAAATGCGCCTACGAGTCTGAGCTTGTCACAAATAACTAACAGGAAAGACAGACTAAACACATAGCCAAAAAACCACATTAATTGATACTACCAAGTCAGTTCTTCCTACTACGCTACTACCAAGTTCGACAGCTAGGCCGCACTAATCGAAAGAACATCAGATCAAGAGCAAGAACATCATATCAACACTCCTATAACAGCTATGGGTCCGATGGCAGCTAAGAACAATTGAAGACAAGCAGATCTGGAACCAAAATCGCGTATCATTTACCAGGTAAACAAAGGAGACTCTGAGCAGTGTGGATCTGGAGCAGACGCGATCTGGCGGCGGTGAAAACGGACGGCAACGCTTGCAACCGAACAGAGGAAGAAGACGAACGGTGACGGTATTTGAAGGATCTGAACGAACGACCACAATCTAGCCACTCCCACACAACAACCAAAACTGATGAGACGGCGGGACACGGCGGGAGACGGCGACGACAACGGACGGCGATGCTGGAAGAACTGAACGAACAGAGGAAAGAACTGATGAGACGGTGGAAGAACTGAACGACCGACCACAGTCCACCCACTCCCACACAAGAACCCGAACTGTTGAGACGGCAGGCGCATGGCGGGAGATGGCAGGCGCACGGTGGGGATATGGCAGCAGACGTCAGGAGGAGTTTAGCTTCAGAGCGTCTTGTGGCTTCTGAGTGCGTGTGCGTTTTTTTTTGTCTTTGAGCTGAAGTGAGAGAAAAAACATGCAGAGGGTCAGTTAGGTAAAAAAATTAACACCCTAATAAAATACTCCAACGGTTTCTCAACCTCAGCTGCGCATTCGAAAAAAAAGCACCTTGTATGAGCTTCTCCCAAAAGCCCATTTGAGCCTCACAAGTCAGATAGGGTAATCGCAGATCCAAACACCCAAAATCACAGTCACAATAAAAGTTAGATTGAGACGCATGTTTAGGGGTCCAAACGTGATCCCAAACGAACCCGAAGTCTTCCTTGAAACCAACATCAATCAAAGAAAATCCCATTTTATTTTATCATAGGCTTTCTCAAGGTCTATTTTTATTGCCATGAAACCTTTTTTACCTTTCGCTTTCTTCATTAAATGCAAGATTTCTTGCCCAATCACAATATTGTCCTGTATATGTCTCCCCTTAATGAAGCTTGCTTGGAAGGGTGAGACCAAACTATTTATTAAACTTCTCAGCCGCTGTGTGATCACTTTAGTAATGCATTTATAATGCACTGAACATAAAAAAAATAGGCCTAAAGCGAGCCACTAACTTTCGGCTTTCCTTCTTAGGAATGAGAAAGATTAAAGTTTTATTAGAGTCCTTTATCAAGACTTCCCCTTTAAAGACTCCTTTCACAAAGCTACATAGAGAATTTCCCACAAAAGCCCACTTACGCTGAAAGAATTTGGAGAAAAACCATAAAAACCCAATGCTTTAAAAGCTCTCATAAAAATTAGAGCATTTTTAATTTCTTCATCATAAGGAATTACACTTAACCATGAGACATCAACACGCGGGAAGTTGGCGGTGGTATACAAAAATTTTCCCACCATAGAATCTCTATAAAGATTTTTTTTTTTTGAAATAGTCTACAACCAAAACCTTTAATAATCCTTCCCTATCTTTTATCCACTCTCCATGATCATTCTTTAGAGTAACAACCCTGTTCCATTTCCGTCTTAAATTGGTTTTCAAGTTATAAGAACGAGCATTCCTGTCACCATAATTTATGCAGTTAGACCGGGGTTCATGAAACCATTCGATTTCCTCTAGATGCAACATTTCCTCAAGTTCATCTTGCAACTGAGTTTCCAAATCATGTAACATTTTCCTGTTAATTCCCACCAAAACATTAGAAACCAGTCGCAGAGATGTGGTCCAGTAGCCCAGCCCATGAAAATGTTAGGCCCAAAAATAAAAAACTGAGATCCAAGTGCAAAACTCGCGGGACTTGTATTGTAAGGGCATTTTGGAAAAATCAAGACCCATAAACGTCATTCTATCTCTTCTCAGTCTCAAAACCTTCGAGCTCCTTGTTTCTCAGTTTCTCTAACGGGACTTTCAAACTGTTCGCCTTTCGGAGCTATCCGAGAGTAACTCAGCGAAGATGCTGGTTTACCAGGACCTCCTCACAGGTTTTCTTCTTGCATAATCTTCTTTTGGATTTTACAAATTTACAAATTCTCTTCGTCCTATGGCTTGCTTTATTGATCTCGTGATTAGTACTTTTCTTTTTTCCTCTTTCGCATATGCTCTGAACCTTTCGCATATGCTGCAAATTGTTCGCCTTTCTAACTTGTATGATGATTGAGCATGGATGTAAGTAAGTTTGTCTTCCCCAACATGCAACTAACGATGATAATGCTAGTTATATGTATTTCAGGGTTTTTTGGCGGGAAAACGAGAATTCAAATTCAAAAGTAGATAACAAGGGAGGAAGGGATCCGACTTTGGCTTTTCGAGGGCTTCGAATGAGGCATCAGTAAAAATGGAGGAAACCATATCTCGCATAATCACAGAGCTTGAGGAACTCCGTCACCATGACATCCGAAGTGATCCGCAACCACCACCGCTTTCCCTACAGAGTTTATTGGATCTCCAATCCCTTCTCGACGATGCCCATTATGCCAATGAATCAGAACTCTTGGACCGCCTCTACGATGAGCTCTCATCCAAGAATCTATCTCCGTCACTGCTCATCCAGCCAATTGCCTCCGCAATGGACTCAGGCCCCGTCAACGTCTCGCTTGCAGCCTCTAAGGTGTATCTCTCCTTGCTCTTGTCCCCGAATGCTCCCGTTTTCACCCTCTTTACTCCAATGTCTTTCCTCTCTTTTCTTCGTTCTATTCGTCGGTCTTTAAAGCATCGGCCAGCAAGCCAGTCCAATCTCGATGAGCCGACCACGGGTTCCCAAAGTGCCGCCTATCGGAAAAGGAAGCTTGGTGGGCGAGGCAAGGCGTCTAGGAAAAATGCACGAAACTCGCAAAATAATGATAACGACGGCGAAGAATGCGAATTTGATGCGATGTTTTTGCTTCCTGTATTGGAGAAGTTAGTGCTCGCTATGGATTTGATTCATTTGGATCGATTTCCGGATAGTCTGAAGTCTTTGGTTCAAACAATGGCCGATATTCCCGTATTGGCTCTTGAATTATGTAGAAATGCGGGTCAGTATAACCAACTGGCAAATTCGTGCTTGCGAGTACTGAGGGAAGTTTTGAGGCCCGAACATGGAGACCCTGGTAATACAGCGGCGGAGGTGTTGAAGTCATTATCATCACTGATTCTCATGCCCAAATCACAAGCAAGAACATTCGCTTTAGGCTTCATCACGAGCCAAATGATGAGCTTAACTAAGGCGTCTGAGGGAGTGAAAAAAGCAGTGATTAATTTTCCAAGGTATTTGACCAACAAGGCTCCGGATAAGTCTGAACCTCGAGCTTTGGCCGTGGAGTCCATCATGGAAATCGCTGGTGTCATGGCACTGGAGGACCAAATTGGATTTGTGAAATTCGTGGTTCAAATGGCTCATGGAAAATCAAATCTTAGGCTTTTAGCCGTTGATCTTATTTTGAATCTAGTGACGTCGTTGAAAGATCCATTGGGTGTGAATTCAGAAAATGAAATGAAAGAACCCTGGGGAATTTGTTGCTTGGAGGCATTGGTGAAGCGCTGTTCAGATGTGAGTGCTGCGATACGTGCTCGCGCTTTGTCAAACCTAGCGCAGCTGGTGGGGTTTCTTTCAAGTGATGTGAAGTGTGTAGTGGTTTTGAGAAATTTTATGGAATCTGTTACAGTTAGAGATGAAAATGTTGATGCTGGGATAAATAATATTCTGAGGAGAAGGTGCATGGATGATAAAGCAGCTGTCCGGAAGGCTGCTCTTCTTCTAGCTACCAAGTTAACTACTCTTCTCGGCGGTGCCATTGATGAAGTGGTGCTCAAGACAATGGGCATGGCTTGTTCGGATCCTCTTATTAGCATACGGAAAGCAGCAATTGGAGCTCTCTCAGAGGTAGTTCTTATCCGCCTGTCTAATTCTTCTTGTCACTTGTTTGCTGCTTTATATTTAGGGCAAAACCTGGAAAAGTCAGAAGGCTGGTGCACATTTGAATAACTTACACGGTAATCTGAGCCAAGAACTGAACTACAATACTTGCCAGGGTAATGCAAGTCACCAACCTTTGGTCTGAAATGAGTATATCGCAAAGCGTGTTTTTTTGTCTTGTGTGTTTTTGCATTAGTTCTGAAATACTATGATTGGTTAATATTTATTCCATCCCCGGAGGGCATCCAGTTTTCCTGGCGGAGAATTTGACTAGAAAAACTACAGTGGTTAAAATGCAGCATGTATGGAAATTCTTCTGCTAAATGCTTTCTTCACATAGCTTTCTGCTGGGTGGATTTATTTTATCTTTTTTCTATCTATTGTTGGTTCCTCTGCTCAGCGGATTACACTGAGCTATATTTCGGATGTGGTAATGTCATATACATGTAAAACACGCGATATCCCTTGTAATCGCTCCTCAGTAGCGGCTTATATGCTCCATCTGCTTGTTCAACCAGTCTGGATTTTATCACGCTACCTTGGATAAGTTGGGGGCTTGCCAAGAAAGCTTCTGAAAATTTTTCCTAAATTTAAGAATGCTATGAAATCCATTAGCTCAATTCTCGCTTGTCAAATCTTAAATTCATGGTTCCCAATTTTCCTACTTTCAATGGTCTTCTTCATTTCCTTTTCGTGGTTCTAATTATAACTGACGAGTAATCTGATGCAATTTACTTTTATAATGCAGGCTTTCAGAACATTCTCTGATAAGACCGTATTAACTGAATGGTTACATGCAGTTCCTCGTCTAATAACTGATAATGAATCTAGCATTCAAGAAGAATGTGAGAACTTGTTTCTAGAGCTGGTTTTGGAGCGGATATCTCAGGCTGCATCTACTCCTTCATATGGTGGATCCATATGTAACGCTAGCGTGGAGGGAAAAAGTTTAGACACTGAGATGGAGGTGCTTTTTCCTGAGGGTGTTCTGTATCTTCTGAGTGCGATTTGTGACAGAGAGGTGACCCCTTGGGTAAAGAAAATTTGCACAAACCTGGGCAAGAAGAAACGGCTCAAGAACAAACTTGTTGCTGCACTTCAAAATATAATCAAAGTGTCAGAGTCTATCTGGCTGAGTCAATCCTTGCCAATAGAGAAATGGATAGCCCCGCCTGGTGCTTGGTTTCTATTATCAGAGGCGTCGGCATACCTTTCAAAAGCAATTGACTGGGAGTTTCTTCATCATCATTGGCAGCTTCTTGACAAAAATGCAATTTTAGGCGAGTGTAAGAGCCCCTTTGATGAAGGAGATGCGTTTGTAGAGGAAGAAAATTCAGAACGAAATTCCGTTGCTTGGGCTAGCGACCGAGTTTTCCTCTTACAAACAATCTCTAATGTTTCTTTGGAGCTGCCTTCTGAACCTGCGGCTGATTTGGCTCATAACTTGCTCATACGGATTGAAGAATTTAACATGCATTCAACAGAGGTAATCATTATATTTGCGTCACTGACCAATTTTATTATTTACTTTTCACATGCTTCCATTCTAGTTTTCATTCCATGACAACCAAGCTGGATGGTGTGGTATTTTTGCACTGCTCAGCATGCACAACACAATGTTTAATTCCGATTCCATAGAAGCTAGATTGAAGGTTTCCCTGAAACAAACATTTCATATGGTTTTCTAAACAGTGTCTATGTCCCTTAACTATTGTTTTCATGAACAAACCCCAAGCCAGGTCACGAAAATTTTCCTGCCTCTGATGCCAATGCATAGGGCTTTTCCATGCCCCCACCCTCCACGTTAAAGAAAGATAAAACATATTATTATGCATTCTTTTAATAAAAAAGGACAAATTTTATCAGAGAAGAGAAAAATGCAATTTATGGCTGTTAACGTTACTCCTCTAATTTCAGATTTGTTATGAATGGTTAACAGAACTAGGAATTTTGATGAGGTATGTTAATCGTAAACATGATAAAGGAACAAAAAGAATTTACTTGTACACTGATCAGAGGGGATACGATGAGCATAAATGGGAAAGTAAACGGACGGCGAAAAAGGTGGAAAGGACATGACCATGGAATGTACAGAATAAACTTATGGAGTTTACTGAAACGAATTTCTTCTATTGATTGATAGGTTGATGCTCATGTGAAAGCACTTGCAACGTTGTGCAAACGAAAGGCCTCGAATCTCACGGAGGCAGAAGGACTCGTCATGAAATGGGTTCACCAAGTTCTCTTAAAAGCTTCGAAAATAATTGATAAGTTTATTTCAGAGCATTCACAGAAAAACAGAGAAAGTGGCTTTTTCACACCACCAAGATCTGGGAGTCGAAGAGACAAGAAATCAATGGCATTCTCCAAGTCATTGCCAGAAGCTATTACAGCAATATACACAATCGGCACTTTGGTGGTTGTTTGCCCATCTGCTGATATGAGCACTGTGGTTCCATTGATACACACAATTATCACTTCAGGGAGTTCTGATCCTAAATCAAATAAGTTTCTGGGCCCTACAACTACAACCTCTCTAAAGCAGACAGCCCCTTCTCTGTATATCCAAGGGTGGCTAACCATGGGGAAGCTCTGCCTCGCTGACGGGAAGCTTGCTAAAAGTTACATACCTCTGTTTGTCCAGGTTGAATAACTGACTTGCCATTGTTTCCTGATCTGATAAACATATGGCCCCTTGTTTCCAAATTGATATTTGTGTCCCCCAATTGAGTTTGCAGGAGCTTGAAAAGAGTGAATTTGCAAGCCTTCGCAACAACCTTGTAGTGATGATGGCAGATTTTTGTGTTCGATACACTGCTCTTGTTGATTGGTAAGTCCGGTAACAGATATCACCTTAAAGCCGGCTCTAATTGGAGCGTAAGTGACTACGGATTGACAAATAAGGGACCATAAGAACAGAGAAAGTGATTTTACTATGGGATGGGGGAAGTGCATTACCTGTATGCTGAATTAATAACTTCTAGCGAATAGTTTGCAATTCTTACTTCTTCATGGATGTTTTCAGCTACATACCAAAGATTACGAGATGTCTCCGTGATCCATGTGAGCTGGTGAGAAGGCAGACTTTTATTTTACTCTCCAGGTTGTTGCAGGTTTGTTCTGCTTATCTGAGACGCCTGCTTCCGTATGACGCTTCGATTTAACTCGTAGTTGAGTAGTCATTATCATACCAAAGGAAAAAAAGAGGAAATAAATTGAAAAACACTCGAAAAAGAGAACACTATTTGCTAAATTGTAATTCATGCTTATTTTATCCAGAGGGATTATGTGAAGTGGAGAGGAGTGCTATTCCTTCGGTTTCTTTTATCACTTGTTGACGAATCGGAAAAGATAAGACACTTGGCAGATTTTCTCTTCGGAAATATTTTGAAAGGTGAGAAGGTTTACCTTAATCATCAATTCATCATGCTTACAATAATATGAAATCTTGTCGTTGGATTTGAGTATTGTGTACGTATCAACAGTCAAGGCTCCTCTCCTAGCATATAACAGCTTTGTGGAGGCCATTTTTGTTCTGAACGATTGCCCTGCCCACAATGGACATAAAGAATCCCATGGTCCAGGAAAAGACGGCCGACTTTTTTCCATCAGGTGAAGTAATCCCGAAATATTAAGTGCCAAGGTAATCATTGAGTAATTGTGTGTGCTTATATGAAGTCTGAATTTTTTTCAGGGGCAACGATGAAAATTCAAGGTCTAAAAGAATGCACATTTATGTTTCCTTGCTAAAACAAATGGCTCCTGAGCACCTCCTAGCAACCTTTGCCAAGTTATGTGCAGAGATTCTTGCTGCGGCTTCTGATGGAATGCTGAATATAGAAGATGTAACTGCACAGTCTGTTCTACAGGTACTATACTACTGTATTTATCGTGCATAGTCTGCACAGTCCATAGATAAAGATGGAAGTAAGGATTGGGTTATTATTGTCTTGTTTTGCAAAGAATTCTCCTTTATTTGTTGTGTTAAGAATTTTAACTTTTAATTTTGGAAGCAGGATGCGTTTCATATTCTCGCTTGCAAAGAGATACGAATCTCATCGACGCGCTTATCGGCGTCTGAATCAGCAGACATTGAAGAGGAAGCCGGGGCCGATAATGGAGCTGCATCGAGAGGGAAGGCCATAACTCAAATTGTGAAGAAGGGTCTTATTCAGAACACAGTCCCCATCTTTATAGAGTTAAAACGGATATTAGAAAGCAAGAACAGTCCCCTTATAGGATCACTCATGGAGTGCTTGCGAGTCCTTCTCAAGGACTACAAAAATGAAATTGATGACATATTAGTTGCTGACAAGCAACTACAGAAAGAGCTTATCTATGACATGCAGAAATATGAAGCAGCCAAAGCCAAAGCCGCAGTTTCCACCATGCCAAAATCAAGTGCACATCGATCCCCTGAAGCTTCTGCGACTCTGGCCAAGACTCATCGACAAAGTAATCTCAAAGATAAGCGTGAGAATAGTAAAACAGTTGCTTCTGCAATGGCGGATGCAGCCGCTGCAGCGACAGCTCGTGCTGTGCTCAGGGAAGTGAACAAGGGGACGGCAACACCGCCACTGAGTTCTTTGGGTGTGCCTAAGGTGAAGTCTCGAACGATTGTGTCAGGTTCAGTAAGTAATGGGCACTCAGATGTTATAGAATCTTTGAGGAAAAGACAATCCTTCGACTCTGACGAAGAAAACTAGCATCACAAAGATTGGATCTTTATGAGACAAGCAAAGTCAAGAGCCGATTTTTCAGCCTGGCCCATGACCGGGTTTAGAAGGTTGGTGTACATATAGTTTATGGAAATATTGTTTAGTTCTGGAACTCGGCTTAATTTGAAGACGGCGTTAAAGAGGCTAAGAGCACCTTTTCATGGGGCGCTTTCTGGGTGCTTCTCAGGGCACGTACCAAGTTATCAACTCTACTTGATTAACGTAGATTCACTAGCATAGGCTTGAAGTCTAGTCTGATAAAGAATGTAGCATTGTAGTAAGTAGAGAGATTCAATTCTCAGGTTGGAAACATTCGTCTTATGAACGTCATTTCCTTCGGAAGCTCTCAAAAACTGTCTATCCCTAGGCGATATGGGGGTGTTTGGATAGAAACCAAACCATAATTTCAGAAGTGCTTTTACGGATTACGAAGTAAATATGTGGAGGAGGTTATCTCGTTTTGCAGAAAAGTGATTCTGAAACTTTAGTTTTGGTTTTGCCAAACACTCCCATGATTTCTATTTTATCGTTATTCCACCTAATCGAACATGACTATATGAGGTTGATATCCTTCCTATAAATAGGTGAAGGCAGGATGTCATTGCAAAATCCGAATATCCAAGAATCAGGAACTATGAACAAAACGTTAAAGGACCCTCTTGTCCTCCGGGGAAACTGTAATTAGCCTTTACAAAATTTAATAAAATCTTGTGCCTTTTAGAAATATCAAGCAGACATCACTCAAGTCAATTGAGATTTAATATTCAATAACAGTTAATTACTAGTTTGTGTTCTTAATATATAAACTAGATAATTAATTTTAAAAATTTTAGAAATTAAGTTAGTTATTTATAAATTATAATGGAGATAAAGTTTCTTTTTGATCAGGAAGTTTTCATTGAGAAGCTATCAGCATCTAAAAGTTTTATTTGGGGTAATATCGTCCTAAAAGTCTACAAAATATAGAACTAGGTGATCGTTTATGCTAATGTGGTATACTTAGGTGGCGTTCATTTCACTCTTTTCCGCCAACTCCAATTCGTTACTTGCTTTTATATAAAATAAGAGAGGGAAATAAAATAATAATGAGAAAAAGTATGAAAAAGAATATAGTATGATAAGTTGTCAACTTTTTAATGTAATATGGAGCATAAATTAATTAGGGGCCAAAATGTTAAAAACACATTAGTTGTTCAAACAATCTCAATGAGACTCTTATAAAGAAGACCAAGACAATCCAAATTTTAGATTGTTATAAAAAGCAACGGAGGGAGTGATTAACATAAGGGACATTGACAAAACAAGACCCTGTACATTGCAAAATCCTAAATCAAGATTTGTGACAATACTAATAGATTTTGACAACAATTGAACTGCAAATAATAACATATTTTTGTAAAAATATCTAATTTGGGATTTTGCAATTTTCAAGGCTTTTTTTTGTCATTCTTCCTTAATAAATTTAACTAAACAATTTTAACTTTAAAAATCCTTTCATAATTTTTTTTGCCAACAATTTATTCAATAATATTAGCAATTATAGTTACTGTTAATAATATTAAAAAAAAAAAAAACATACATGTGAAAAAGAATCTAACTTGATGATCCGCCTCCGAGAACCTCCTGGTTAATTGGATCCTTAATGCGGGTTGATAATTAATTTCACACAATCAAGTCTGAAACGAAATGATCATGAATTAGGAACCAAAAATGATATTAATTGGTTGAGAGATTTTTATTTTTTGATTATGCCTCTGGCGAGAGTTTTTTGGTCCGTCCCTATGTAGGTGCGTGTCATTTTTTTGTTATTGGCGGACTGTAACCCTTAGCTTTTTAATTAAAATTACTTAGAAATACAATTTACGTAAATTAAGAACTATTTCAAACTTATCCTCCACATGCACAAACGCTATAATAATTTATTATGAAATAAATCAGGTGAACACCGTAGAGCCTGCTGGGACAGGAACCTTATTGAACACTGGAATTTCTTTTCTGACTCTAGCCTGCAGGTTAATAGTGCCAACTACGCCCTGGAAAACCACGTTACTAAGGAAGTAGATGGCTCTGTTCTTACGGATGCCAGGAGTAGCCGTGAAGTGGTCATGAAAGACGAGGATTAGTGGATTCAGCTGCAAGTTAACCTCAGTTCCTTCCGCAATAGCGGAACTACATCAATGGTTTGTATTTGTGTTGGAATAGATGGTACAGGAAGATTTTAGATTGTATTTGGTACGAAGTATTGAAAATTGATAATAAAAATTGGGATTGAGATAAAGAAAATCTATTAAGATAGTATTTAGCATGAAAGAGAATCTTTGGATTGTATGAATGTTATTGATTTGTGTAATCAGGAATGGAATTTAGAACACCCTTTTAAAGATATTATTTAGGCTAGCACATATGTGGCACAGTGGCATGATAGCCACCTGTTGGTGGCCGCTATCAGGGTTCGAAGTATTGAAAATTGATAATAAAAATTGGGATTGGGATAAAAAAAATCTATTAAGGTAGTATTTAGCATGAAAGAGAATCTTTGGATTGTATGAAATTTATTGATTTGTATAATCAGGAATGGGATTTAGAACACCCTTTTAAAGATATTATTCAGGCCAGCACATGTGTGGCGCAGTGGCTTTGGTGACCGCTATCAGGGTTCGATCCCTGCCTGCAAGCTCTACTTGCCTACTCAAAAAAAAAGAAAAAAGAAAGATATTATTCAGGATGCGAGAGTCATAGTCGGTATAGACCCGCAGGTTTTAATTAGACGTGCGGATGGAGAACATTTGATGGTTATTGATTGGTTGGTGAAAGCCTCTCACAAGTCAGACGATAACTTTTATTTTTAATCAATCTCCACCTCAAATTCATGAGGCTACATCTTAATCAAAAGAAGTTGTTTTCGTGCTGTTGTTACCTTTTTTTTTTTTTATGAAACATCATACTAACCACCGGCGGACCCGGTGACTAATTCCTCCACTGGCTTGTAGGTATCTCGATAGGTGAGATAACTGGCTCGGGGTTTTAAAGCTTTTCTATACCCAAGACAAAGATCGAACCTTCGACACTTGGTTAAGGGAGGATGAGCCTCGACCGCTCAACCACACCCCCGGGTTGTGCTGTTGTTACCTTTGTTTAGTAAGTATTATTCAAAAAAATGGGTGAAAGAAAAAATAACAAAGAAAACATCAGTTGAATTTTAAAAAGATAAATAAATCATACTTATTATTTTTATAATATTTTTTACTACTCTTATAACAATTTTAAGATGTCAAAATCTATCAAAACAATCATCTTAAAATTTAACAGATATTTTTTCCCGTAATTTCTTCATGTATATGCGTGTGTAACAATGACGAAAGACTTGACCAAAAAAAAAACTATGACGAAAGACATTTAATCATGGGAAAATTACGCACAGGTCCCATAGAAGAGAGTTTATTCATCTAAAGTCCCATGAAATATCCAAATTATTGACAGGTCCCAAGGGACCTCAGAGTAATATATTCTATTTGTAAAATGACATTACTGCCCTTCACATTCCAAATTCACATTTGCTCTGTCATTGCGATTTATAACCTAAGCAGCGACTATTAACAACCCAATGAAAAAGCGTTAACAACCTAAGCAGTATCCGTTAACAACTTACTTTATAAAATCATATAACCTCCACATAAGAGTAAATTATAACCAAATAGGATAATACAACAACTTTAACATTAAAATGGGAAGCTTTTTGATATCATTAAAAATTTTAAGTAAACCCAATAGGATTATAGTAAAATTTTAATGCGAAGATCCATTGATAACCTCAACGGTGAGTATTAATAACCTAAGGAGAACTGTTAACAACCTTAGCAATGTTTGTTAATAACTGACTTTATCGGATAATATAATCTCTAACTATAACTAACTAAATTATAACTAAATAGTGTTAAAGTTAATCTTATATAGTTGTTAGAGATTATATTATCCTATAAAGTCAGTTGTTAATAGACACTGCCTAGATTGTCAACAGCTCTATTTGGGTTATTAATACTCACCGTTGAGGTTGTTAATGGATCTCTGCATTAAAATTTTGCTATGATCCTATTTGGTTTAGTTAAAATTCTTAATGATATCAAAAAGCTTCCCATTTTAGTGTTAAAGTTGTTGTATTATGCTATTTGGTTATAATTTACTCTTATGTGGATATTATATGATTCTATAAAGTAAGTTGTTAACGGGTACTACTTAGGTTGTTAACACCTTTTCATTATGTTGTTAATAATCGCTGCTGAGTTTGTAAATCGCAATGATAGAGCAAATGTGAATTTGGAATGTGAGGGGCAATAATGTCATTTTACAAATAGAATATATTATTCTGAGGTCCCTTGGGACCTGTCAGTAATTTTGACATTTCGTGGAACTTTAAATAAATAAAATTTCTTCTGTGGGACCTGTACATAATTTTCCTTTTAATCATTTATATCAAAATGTAATTTTATTACGATCCTTTAACACTACAGTGAAACTTCACGATTTTTCGTGACCAAGAAGCAACTCGTCATGTAGGGCCCTCTCATTCCTTGGGCAATTAATTTCCTCCCTGCACCCTCTATTATGGGTAGAGGTCCTAAATGTGTTTCAATTAACGAACTCCTGCCATCTGTCAAGTTCATCATAACTCCTCCCATCTATCAAGTTCATCAAGGCATTAGATGTAGGCTGTTCAATCTGATTTCAACAGTAAAAATTTAATATTTTTAATTAATATTTTTAAATTTAAAAAATTAGAAAATAATTTGACAACCAAAACCAAGAGAAAAAAAAATAACTTGGTACTAAACCGGTTTAAATAGTAATTTAAGGATTAATGAATTAGATTGAGATTAACTCCGGATCAGATTGATTATGTTCAAATAATATAATTTAATTAACAGTAATAATAAAATAAAACATTGATTATCATAATATCAAAATGTACAAAAAAATCATAAAATATATAACAGAAATAACTTTTTATTTATCCAAACAAAAGAGGGCATGAAAGGAGGCTGGTAGATTATGGCTACTAAGTGGCCACGCACACTATGTCAGAGAGAGGCTCAGGCAAAAATTTGGAGGCCACACATTAGAGTCACAATTTCTTTTCTTTCTTTTCAAATTCCAGTTCAAATCTCTCGTCGGTACACTCTGCTTCTAATTTTTCCAGTATCTCTCTTTTGTAGCCTTCACGCTTCACCCTCGTAAAATTATTTACTTTTTTTCCATGCTTTCTATTTATAAAAAAAAAAAAAAAAACTTCTCCACTTCATCTTCTATCATAATTCTTCAATGCTCTTTCATGGTAAGATGGTCTTTAT